TATCGATTTGATTTCCAAAAAGCGACAGTTCTCCATTGATACTGACACTCCAAACGGAAGACTCGACGTCTATTCGCAACCGATGGTATCAAGGAGGGTAGAGCATGGCTTTCAGAAGGCGGCTAAGGTGGATCAGGCACCATTATCAATTGGGTGGCAGTTCTCCGAAGTCCTCGATGGACACATACATATGCAATCGAATGATTTGGGCTCTGACGCATGCGAAACACTGGGTCGCAGTTCGTCGTGCACCATGCGCATGTTTCTTACCATCGAAATTTGTCGAAAAATAGGTGAGTCTTCAGATGCAGAGCATGTCATGATTCTCACAATGTTAGATACTTTTGGGTTACAGTACGAAGGCATATGCGCCGGAACAGTGGCCTGTCGTGGACTTTCCAGAGGTCCGATGAGAGTAGTCGATGGCAGGATTCGGTTTTTAGTTCCCTCAAAAAAGCAAGCAGAGTCAACGGCTTTGAGGTACTCACTTCAGCTTCTTTCACAGGAAGACATCAGTTACAAGCTCGAGGGATACAAAGAGATTGATTCAACCTCTGCAATCTCCATTCGCGGAATGTGGGAGGCGACCACTAAGGTCAATGTTCAGATCACTCGAGATGACGAGATGAAAGTAGGAGCGGGTGTCCTCCGCATATCATGGCCGTCTTTCCGACGACAGATGAGAACATTCAGAGCAACTGTTCCTTTCAGAATCGGACTAGTTCCAGCCTTAGTCCTTTTCCTGGCCTACTTTGCTCTCCAGCTTGTCGTGGTGTTCCTTCGACCTTTTGCGCCGGCTCGCAAGTCTCGCCGCTCCCCTCATCCTTCCCCTGGCCCAAAACAGCAGCCCTTCAATACAACAATCCTTAGAACAGAGGATGGAGTCACTGTACGCTTACAAGAGTACGAGCCGTTGCCGAACACCAACGAGGCTATCAAAGGCGAATTCCTCGGGTCTCAGCCAGTCTTATTCATCCCGGGAGTCACCGGTAATGCTGCATATAGCACCTTTGCGCTTCCATATCTGCGATGCAACATGGTCGAGTATCTCAGAGCACGTGGATGTCGATGCTACGTCCTAACTCCTCGCTGGGGCAGCAACGCCAAAACATCCGCGCAATGCACCGTTTACGACTGCCGCCTCGATATCGCAGCGGCATTGCAACATATTTTAGCTCAACAGAAGCAGAAGCCATACATAGTAGCCCACTGCCAAGGCTCCGTGGCACTCGCAATGGGTTTACTAGACGGCACCATCAAACGCACACACATACTCGGTATCACAGCCAACGCCGTATTCATGACGCAGGTCCTAGCCTACTGGAACTCACTAAAAGCCGCCACTCCAGCCCTGATCCGGCTATACGAGTTCATCTCTGGCACACACTACCCAATTGGGTCGCCCGACGGCAACAAATCCATCCATAAAGTCCTTGACATTCTCCTCCGATTTTACCCCGTCGAGAACCGTCGAGACATCTGCACCTCAACACATTGCCATCGCACGACATTTGCATTCGGCTTGTGTTGGAATCATAATAACCTCGACGCTAACATTCACGACAACGTTGGCCAGTTTTTTGCAGATACGCATACCAAGCTCCTCGAGCATGTAACCCGCATGGGAACGCATGGGGCATGCTTGGACAATGACCTTCGTCCGCTCCTCACCGATCGGAATCTCCGTAATCTGCAGGACATTCCGATCTTGTTTATGTCGGGTACGGATAACGAGGTGTTTAAGCCCGAGTCGACTCTACGGGATTATGAGATGCTAAGACGTCGGTTCGGAGAGCATCTCTATCGTCGGTTCTTGGTTGAGGGTTATGGTCATTTGGATCCGGTTATCGGGAAGAATGCAGCGGATGACGTTTATTGGAGGGTGTTTGAGCATGTTAAGTGGTGTATTCAGGGCCAGGGGAATACGAAGAATTGATGGCTGTTGTTCGTGAGCTGGGTAGTGCGAACTTGTGTTGTTGTTGTTGTTGTGTGAAGAGCATTATATATTTTGGGACATCCGTTGAACCATCGTGATAGTTTTAAATTCCGCTTCGATTGCTCCAACTCATACTACCAATACCTAGTATACTAATAGTAGGCAATGGTTTCGCTACAAGATGTGAAGTAATCTTTTGCGGATTGAATCGAGGACTCTAATGAGGGAGGGAAAAAAAGAGACCGGCGGGAGGGGTAACGGGAAGAAGAAAAAAAAAGAAATTCGCTTGCATCATCCGTGAATCGAACACGGGCCTCATCGATGGCAACGATGAATTCTACCACTAGACCAATGATGCTAGTTATTATATTAGGCTCATTTTTTATGCTATAAAAAGGAGAGGATCAGTGAGATTCCCGCTCCACCTTCCGTCGGACTAAACGCGAACCTTAGATGTACACAACAACGCGTCCAACTTTCATCATCCCGGTTGTTAACTCGCGCAGTCTGCCTTCAAAGCCTCGGTGATCACCATGGGGGGTAGGTAGATCATACTATATTTTTAAACCGCAACTGATTCTAAATGTAATTCAAGACACAATTGATAGACTGGACGATGCTTTCCGCGCACCTTCCCCTCTGCGGTCTCTCTTTGTCTCAGAAGAGACACCCCCTCCATCAGGAGAAGTTGACTGCCCGCTACTGGATGCAAAACTAGACGAAGCCATTGAGAGCTTACGAAATGGCGAGATTGCCTCCCTACATGAAGCAGCAGTGCGCTACGCAGTCCCGGATTCACTTTTATATACCCGGTACTATCGGAAAGACCCTGAGCCAGTGGCCTGCACCTTTGGGAATCGTTACAACCTTAGTGAGGCAGATGAACCTAGAGTTTGTCAATATATTGTCCAATGGCTTCAATCAGGGTTCCCGACTTCGCCGCATCTTGTCCGCGAAGCTGGAAATGCTCTACACAAACGAAAATGCGATTCCTTGTATCTGAACTTTAAGCCCCTTGCTCAGGTCTGGGGTCGCCGATTTCTAGAATATCATCCCCAATTGAAGGAAACTATCGACTCATATGCTGAGGATCATAAGAGAACCAAGCAACCTCAACCTGATAAAATCTCCAGCTTTATTGATCTCTTCGAGAAGACAAGAAAGCAGTATGATATCCACCCAGACGATATCTGGAATGCTGATGAGAAGGGTTTCATGCTTGAGATTCCACAAGGCCGCACCCAGAAGACCATCATTTCCAAAAAGTCACTCCAACATAAAGCCAGTAGATTACTCGCGCTCAGCGAAGACTGGGTCTCTACGATTGAGTGTTGCAATACGGGTGGCCGGGTACTTGCTCCTTATGTCATTTTCAAAGGGAATGCGGTCGAATCTTCCTGGAAAAGGATGATCCCTGACAAGAAAGCACATGTGAGATGTGAAGAGAAAGGCTTCAGCAATGAAAAACATCAGTTGAAGTGGTTGACTAGAACGTTCATACCACAAACAGCGGTTTCTCAGAAGACTCTATCTCAACGTGGTACATCATCGAATCGAGCCACGCGTTTGCTCCTGCTAGATGGACACTCTTCTCCTGTCTCATTTGAGCTTTTCCTCACCTGCTGGGAAAATCATATCATACCACTTTGCATCCCTCCAAGCACCTCGCATCTCCTGCATCCACTAGATGTTGGGGCACTCTCGAAGTTCACCGATTTTTACACTGATGAACTACGGAATGCCTTACAGACCGGAAACTTCCGCATAAGCAAGGATGCATTCGTTCCACTGTGGTGGGTTTCTCGGCAGGATGCCATGGACCCGGCGAACATCTTCACGGGCTGGCGAAATTCAGGAATATGGCCTGTCAGCAAGGGAATTGTCTACAAACGGGCAGGATTCGACCTTCCGGAAGCTAGACCTTTCCCAAATGTTACGCAGCTGGATGCCCCAATCACTGCAGAGGTGTTCAGTACTCTGCTGCGTCAGATGGATTCCAGCCCACCAGAAACTGCGGCTCAGCTACGCGAGTTCTTGATAAGTTGCTTTGATCAGCAACGCCGCACTGATGAGTTATTTCAAGAGGCTTTGAGCGACCTACAGCAACGTGCACCTGAGCTGCAATGACGTTGATGGTGCAGACGCAGAGATTAACTACGAAGCGACGCGCCGAAGATGACTCAGCTGCACGTACAGCATCCAGACGAAAGCGTCTTTGTCCAACCATCAGCCTATGACCTCATCTTCTAGGATTGAGCCGATTCGATCAAGTAGTCAGCTGATACAGTCTTTCAATGCACCAGAAAATGGCGCTTTGGCATGGAGCTCATACGGCTGCATTTTCAAATGGAAGTGTTTTGCCTCAAACAGCGACAAGCATCCATCCGGCAGGATTGTCCATGGCACCTCGCAGTATCCTGGCAAGCTATGACAATACGAAAATGAAATATTGTATCCATCACTTCAAACCATCATTACCACCAAGGCAGTCTCGTCATGGCATTTGGACCACGGAACTCTTCTTTACATAATATGACAAGTTCTACAGAGCAAAGGGACACTATAATTCTAGCAGCTGGGACCAAAAACGATGTATTTAGTCATAGAAAGAGTAAAAAAGAAAATGGGAAAAACATACAACAGAAGGGATTCGCTGGTGGTCACCCACCCAACTACTAACCTCCCGGCGTGTGGCTTAAGTACGGCTGAGCGGACGGGAAGCCCTGTTTTCCACACCCTATGGTCGTATGTACCATATAATTATAGTCAAAGCTTCATAAAGCATGCATGTAAGTCAATTCTTGAAGGGACGGAGTACACAGTATCTTTTTGCCTATCCAGCCCGGGAATGTTGACTTGCTGAGCATTTAAACCCCTCCCCACGAACCCTGACTTTCGACTAGGGTTAAATGCAGCTTTTTGAATTCAGGGAACTTAAGGGAAAATACTCGTGGGTCTTGTAGTTACAGCTAAATCATTGACAGTCTTAGCTGTTCTAAGGCCTCCCTTCTATCTAGCAATCGGCTGTAACTTGACACCTCGTGCAACGCTATTCATCGATCCAATAAGTTCGAACAAAAAATCATTCTTCATCAGTTGTATTCTCCCACACATCCTCCTCCTTGACAGGCTTCTTCTCCGGATCTCGCCACTGGTAGCAAACGATCCTCTTCAAATCAGGCTGGCAATGGTCCCATATTGCTGCGTGGCCTTGAGTACGCATAGGAATGCTTTGCCCCGAGAAATTAATGTAGTCGACTCCGTGGATGTCGTGATATAAAAAACGGAGGTACTCGCTTACTTCCTGAGAGAGTGCGCATCGTTTCTCGTCAGCTGGGGAAGATCCCGATTCGTCCCCGATTGGCTGGTCAAGATCAACCATTTCGTATATCATGTACAGGTGCTTCAGCAACATAGACCGATATCGCTGTTGGCGAGATGGTTGGTCTAGTAGTAAAAGACTCCAAACTTGGTAATAACTCCAGGTGAAGCGATGACGTTCTGTTGGAGTTAAGTGTAATGGGCGTGGCTTTCCACCATAAAACTCGTCATCGACGCTCGTAAGAGGAACTTTACAACACTTAAGTCAGCAAATATTCCAAACAGTTAATGTGTTCCCTGGTTCATCTACTTACTCCGGATATGCGGAGTAATATCACGGTCAAACACCTTGATCGCCTTCTCCACAATGCCAACGTTTCGTCGCAATCGTAACAGATCCCCGAGAGTCACTGACAAAGAATGAGGTAGTGGGCCACCTTGATCCGCCAGTAGGACTCTTGCATGTCGTTCACATGGCATCTTTCTGCGTAGGCGTTTGTAAATTGTAGGCGTGTTGTCAATCAAGACCTGGCGGAGGCGACGGCAAGTCGCTGCCAAATGAAGCGCATCTGGAAGAGGCAGTTCCCCGTATATTCTGATTAAGACCTCTGTAGGAATGTGGGCAAATCCTGAAAATGTGTACATAATGAGTGTGATAAACAGAGTCCGGAATTGGTTGACTCGCCGAGAGGTTAATCATGTGTTGGCTTGCCTGTGTTTGCTTCTTAGACTCGAAGATCATGTGATTGGTGGATGGGCCTAAAATAAACCTGCAAGAACCGTTGCAACAATTCAGTCTTCTGATACGCCTTCCCATGTTCAGACTTAAGCCAAGGCCTCTTTCGCACTAATTTCAGGGCAGATATGGGGGCTATTATGAAGCCTGTCAGGAGCTCCTTCCCTGTTTGTTCTAGCGCTTATGTGATCATCAGCGGGTGGCTTTGCTCTATGTGACTTAGTCTATATGTGGGCCTGGGTGTGTTCGCTCGGCTTTTCTACATGATTCTTACGCCTACCCAGCGATTGTGTGATTTGTACTCCAGGCTTTTAGTATCCGCTGTTGGTTCAGAGACTATAGGAAATCCGACAGCAATTTATTCTGTTCGTACTATGTCAACATACAAATTAATGGGGACTTTCCCCATACTACTACTTTCAGAGACCACGTGGGGGCCATTGTGAGGCGATTGGGGGCCATTACAAACCGGGCTCATGGTCTTCATAGAGGTCTGCATAGAGCCTAATCCGGGCACTCCAATTGAGACATTCAGGGTCTCTGTGGATGCTTGTGCAGAGCCTAGTGGATTCTCTTTGCACCCTGGTTTCAGGATTTACTTGGGGGCCTACGAACGTCCTACTGGGGGCCATATTCATGACGAACTCCTCGGACTGTCCTTCAGGGTTCACTGATAATCTTTGGTCTTTTACAACATAGTGATTTATATTGGCTGTCTAATATCGCACTTTTAATACTAGGAAGTTTCTAATACTACCTTTATCTTCATAACACAGCCTATCTCAATACCACTATTTGCACATCACACTCAAAATTTCTAATTCTAGGAATTCGCACTCACTATTTGGAGATGAGGTGCGTAATGTCAATGATATCATGTATTCTCTAGCTAGGCAAAGTTCTGAGGTGGGACCGTTATGGCTTCGGGGGCCATTATATCCTTAGAGCCTCTGTAGCCTTGGGGCCGCCATGACATTCGGGCTGTGATAGCTTGGGAGCCATGATAGATTTCGAGCTTTTATACTTCTGGTATGGCGTACCTTGAAGGGAAAAAGGTATATCAAGAAAGCCAGGGACTCTGATCCTTGGGAATCATCAACAGAGTATCTCTCAAAGTCTTTCCTTTTTTTCCTATTCACTCTTTTATCGTCGAGTCTCTCATTATACAATGTATTCTCCCACTCTCTCTTGGAGCCATGCGGCTATACTTTTCTTGTCACTCTCTGCTTTTCAATTCGGTACTGCCTCGCCCATTGACGGCCAGCTAGTTGAACGCTCGGGCATAGCCTCTCCAGGTATCGGCGTTGAGTTCGAGTCCGGGAGTATCTACTTCACCAAAGATGTTCACAAATTGTCTGAGAAAGAGAAAGAGGCGGTGAAGGAAGCTGGTATTGCTGCCAAAGGCAAGGCTGTTAAATTGAAATCAGCCAAGGACGGCAACGGTGCCAAATTATCAGGCAAAGACTGGGAATTGACGGCGGATGCCACCGGAGGCACGCTGGGACACCTACCTGCAGAGTATATCCTGGACGGAAGGAAGATCAAATTGGGAACCGGGAGAGCTGCACTTGCAGCGGAGGAGGTCTATGAAGATCTGGTATGATAACCGCACCACAACTGACTTGGAGATACACGAAGAGACTAACTGACCACCTCCTCATACAGAAAAAGTGGAACCCGAAGACCGGCCAGGAGGTTGAAATTGCCAGCAATAAGAAGAACCCTTGGTCTGTCAAGGCTGGCACTAACCCTGTGAACTCCGCCTGGTCTCGTCAGATCACTTCCCCGATGCCACTTGGGGCCATCAACGACCTGATAAAGCAAGCCAAACTTAACAAGCCCTCACCGCTGATGACATACGCCAATAGCAAAATCCAGAACAAGGTTTGGGTTAACGATTTCTTCTTCGAGGAGAAACCTGGTGGTCTTACAAAGGATGTTGGCGAGGATGTTCGCGGATTTCTGTCGCTTCTTCTTTCCTATGCCAAGGCGGGCAGCCAGGTCCGGAACAGTGAGAGTGCTAAGGAACTGACGTCGATCATGCCGCGAACTAGTTTTTCCAAGATGTACAAGCTCATTGAGAGCAAGCTCGAGAAGAAGGATCTGTGGACTATTGTGAACAAGCTTGCTTGTTATGAGAACCCTATTGACGATGCACATGAATATGCTGCGTAAGTCTGGTGCAACTACCTTACCTCAGTTGAGCCCTCACTAACAATATCCCACTTAGTGTCGACGAGCGGTATTGTTCAGGGCATCCCGGACAGACCACCATCAACGGCAAGTTCGAGAAGCTGCAGATTAACATCTGCTACGGCTCACAGTCCTGCCCTGTCAACGTCAAGGCCTGGATACAGGGGTTGAAGGATGGCAAAGATCTGCTGAAGGATGCTGATAAGGAGATGATTGATGGCCAAGTCGGAGGGTATGGAGACTTGACAGAGCATCGCCTCGACCATCCTACCGAGCAACTGCCCCTTTTCGAGTTCCGTGATCTTCCTTCATGCTCGGCTTCAGAGTGGAAGAAGTGTTTGGAGAAGGCCGAAACTGCGATTGTCAACTACCACAAGAAGTTTTCTGGAAACTAGGACTTCAGTTCTGCCGAGCAACAATGTCGATTTCAGGGGTGCAGGCGGCACAGCTTCTGAATGGACTGTTCTTCAATTACTGGAAGGTGCGGAGTTTGATTTTCGACTGTAACTACTACTGCATTTATATTCGTCTTTGATCTTACTACTATGCGTATATATACCTCTGCGTCCAGTGTCTGAATACAACCACAAAAAATTTCCACTTTCCTGGATTCTTCACTCTGTAGTCGTATATAAAAGCCTCACTTCTCTGCAATTTATATAGGCTGTTAGTTTCAAAGCCGAATGTCCAAGAGGCCGGCTTCGCTGGTCACCGCCGCTAAGGGTACTGACAGTGAGTGCACTTATCAATGTCCTGAGAATCTTTCTTATATTTCTAAGTCCATCCGACTTAGTGTGTGGGTCTACGAAGGTTTTGCATGCAATGCTGAAATACAACTTTTAAGGTTGGACTGCCAAACTACTAACATCATTCCTGGGAACCCGGATATGTATAGTAAGGCAACAGGGTACATGCCAGTGGACTTGCAAAACATCACCAGTATCATGGACATATGTCAATTAGTCTATAGGATTTGATCTAATCTGATCGTGTCGTGAATGTAATTTTTATAAATACTACTTGGCTCAGTCAAACCACCGCCCATTGCGGTACGCCAATCTAGGATTCATCAGTTCATCCTTCCTTCTAACAGGATCCCAGTCTTTTCCAATATGCTCCTTGGCTTCCTGCAACCACTGATCCCAAGCCGGCGTTTGGGGTATCAATTCACCATTAGCTACCCACTCCACACTTCCCGTCATATTAATGACGGCCCACAACGTCTCAGTGTAGCTCGAGTCGGGGGTACTCGGACGACACTCGACAAACTCAATCTTATATCTGCTCATATCCCACAGATCGCGCGGCTCGACCAACAACGCCAACAGCCAGTACAGGGCGTTCAGAATGATGTAAGCGACACCGATGGCAATCTGCATCTCTGAACCGCAGTTACTCAGGAGAATGATTGACGCCATGAGCAGTAATGTGCTAGTTCCTAGCAGTCGGTGGTGCGTGTTCCCCTTGAACATGTACTCGCAGTCCTCCATTCCTTCGTACAACTCGCGGATGACATCGTCATCTCCGTAGACAAGAATAAAAGCACCTGCCCGGGTGCGTATAATCACGTCTCCACTAGGTACTTCTGCTTGCGACGAACGGCCGCTGAGGCGGGGATACCAGCGCGCCGATAGACTGGCTACACTGGTCGACAAAGACATGGTAGCCAGACCGACGAGGGCGGTACCATCATGGATGCAGCCCGCCCAGATATAGAGGCCAATAGTGATGAGGATTGAGACGAGAGTAACAAAATTGAGCCAGCAAAATGTCTTGAGTTTGATTGGGATTCGATGCCTGTTGACTCGTCGGTAACTTTCTTCCACCTTTGATGCGATCTTCGAGTTTTGTCCTTCTTCGGAATCACGTGTCGCGTAGCTGATTCTGTAGACGCGGAATTCGTATTCTTCCATGTCGTTTACATTGTGGATGAGATTCGCAAAGAAGTTCAGCTCATCCAATTCTATGCCTGATTTGACACCGACGATTTTGACGTCCTTGACAGATGGTGGTCGCGTCGGTCGCTCTGTGTCGAGAAGCGATTCAGGGGCGGGCATCAACCGGGGAAAGATGGCGAAGGGAGAGGCCGTAATGGCCTGCATGTGTTTTTGGATTGCTGAGCTGCCAATGACAGCCAGCAGAGGGATGATGTCGAACTTCCATTTGTTCTCACCCTCTTCGAGTCCGACTGGGAACCAGCCCATTTTGGCGGTGTTTTAATTTATCGGTAGTGATTTGACCTCTCCAGGTGCAGAGACAAGTGAGGAATGTGGTGAGAGGGAAGAGACCACTTCGCGAAGACGTGTGCCCGCGGTATAGCAAAATAATAACAAAAATAAGACGGGCTCTTGGCTCAAGACAATCAGTCCTGCCAAGCATGGACTACTATTTAGTGAGTTATGCGATCCACTGACTATTGTGAGATCAGCCTTACTTAGCTTCAAATGCATGGGTATTTGTCCCGTCTCAAGATCCTACTCGGCTGTCTGTGTCTTCCACCCCACCAATGAATGACATTCATACTTGAAAGAGATGTTCTTCGGCCATTCGAATGAACACGCTTGACCAGCACTACTGTTTTGCAGCATGTGCGCGGGTGTTGACATGAAAAATCGAACCTAAAGTAGACTAAGTTGATGATCATCTCCCAAGTTCCACTTTAGCGGAGATGCTGGAGTCTTCATCCCCACTGTAGCTCCGGTTGTTTCAGCTAAACTACGGTAAAGCATCATGCCATGAAGATACGGTGTAGATGGCCGGCAAAGATTCTCCGGACAATGCATGGCAGGGCTTTGATATAAACAAAACATTCTAGACCATGACTGTAGAAGTGATCATGACGGAAAGCATCCCCTCGGGTGTCAGGATGCTGTGAGTGCCGGCACGGAGATCAGCAGCGCGAGGTCCACTTTTTCTCCCGCTTGGTGGTCCACGGGCATGGATGTTGCGGGCTGTCAATCTTTGATTCTGGCTGGTTGAGGTTCAAGGGAATGATACAAAGTATGATTAATTGAGTGTCGTTCATGATTTGACTGGGTGCCTTGGGGCCGCATTAGCACTGGTCTTGTCTCTAGTGCCATTGGCTGACTAGGGTGTTTATAGTAGATACGCAGCTGAGCCCCAAATATCATGCAGGGCGTTTCTTCCCTGCTCTTTACTAATGATCTTACTACTCCTAAAAGCTTCAGTTCAGAAACATTCATTCCTGTCCATTTTTGTGGGCGTGAAGAGTGAAATTTGACGCAAAAGCGTCGGAGCTCATCCCTTTAGGGCAAACACGTGTCGAGTGAAATAAACTCTCACCAGATAAACACTACAGATTACCGGGAAGAAACTTGTCTCAAGCCGAATAGAAGCAACCTATCTCCGAGTAAATTTGAATTTGATATCTTCAGTGAGTCAGATCCAGTCAGCTTCAGGGCATGGACTTGTACATCTGCTGGGAATATATATCTCCCACATGGATCGTGCTGAAACCTAGCGAGGACTACATTTTCAAACCGTGTAGATTGCCCACGTTGCTATATGAAGTAGAAAAGCCGAAAAAGAGGCTTTATCACCCTCGATATATTCATAATTGCTGGTTGTCTATATAAGTAAGCATAAAATTCCAGTATTCCAGGCATAAACTTCAGCCTCAGGCAGCTGTGAACGAGAGCGGTGAAAATTCTGCTAGTCCGGGCTAATAAACCCGAGGGAGAACATTTCCGAGGAGGCGGAGAACAATTGGAATTCTACTGCCCCACGAGATTCATATGATCAAACCAGAGAGAGTACAAGAAAATATGTTTGACATTTTTAATAACTCAAAGTGTGTTGAGAGTGACCAGGGTGGGTGTTATATGTCCAGAAATTGCTCACAGCTTTCCCCACAAGCGCCTAATCAATGATGAGAGGGCAGTTATATATTATCCAGTAAGCGGATGATGTATAGAAAGAAACATGTCTGTGAAAAAGCTTATCAAAATTGGCATCATCAAGTTTCATAAGAACATGCCGCTGTTGTCAATTCATACAAATCCAAGTACTATTTTAACAGGAAAGAACCATGTACCCGGCGGGGCGCATCAACAAAACCTAATATCAGCCAATCACAATTGAAACTCATGCATTCTTCATTTGGCCCCCAAAGAGTGCCGAGTCCACGCTAAACACAACCATCTTAGATCCTGCATAAGGCCGAGTAAGGGTCTCCAGCATGCCCCAAGTCTGGAGATTTTCTGTCTGATCAGCTTACTCCCCCTTTTCTCAACTCCTCTTCGCACGGCACACCACCAAATGCAACCTCTGTTGATGCTCCCAGCATCCCCTTCGACCCCCATTCCACCATGTCAGCAGGCGTAACAACATCCGCATCAACTACAGCCTCAGCCCCCATTCCTTTAACAACAACATTCGTCCCTCCTAGCACATGTATCAGCGACTTCTGGCTCGTCAGCAGCAGTTCCAAAACATGGATGAACCTGGGGCCAGCACACACGGCTGAATGTGTTCCTTCGGGGTGGGATGTATCCAGCTATTTCTCGCCGGGACTATGTCCCACCGGATATCGCATTGCAGCCAGTAATATCGTGATCGATGGAACTATTACTGAGACTGCAGCGACGTGCTGTCCGACGTGAGCATTTAATCCTTACTACGCACCTTTCTCAACACCTGCAGTACCAACTGACACAACTGGCTGTCGCCTCCAGCATCGGTATCCAAACCTACTCCACCAGAACCACCTACACCCCCGGCTGGACCGAGCTCGAAGTCTGCACCTGGGAACCCGGCAAATCCACCGAGATTGAATTCGCCTACACCTGGACCGACACTGCCGGATCGACGAGCAGTACCTCCAGCTCGTTGTCCAGCCCAGGACACATCAACGGGTACGGTATTTCTATCCGATGGCAATCGACGGATTTCACCACCCCGGCAGCCACATCAGCATCTACAACATCATCCGGGGATTTACCTGCGACCGCTACCTCTTCCACAATATCACCCACGTCCACCTCATCCAGCAGCTCATCAGGCCTCTCGACCGGAGCAAAAGCAGGTATTGGCGTCGGTGTCGCAGCGGGCGCGGTGCTAGCCATATTCCTCTTACTCTTCTTCCTGCGCCGACGGAAAGTGAACGCATCGTCTGCGAATCAGCAGGCTTTTCAAACACCGGACAAGGGATATAGGGTACAGAAAGTGAATGAGTTGCCTGCGACAAGGACAGGGGCGTTCATGACAGAGCAGGTGGAATTGCCGGCCTCGGGAAGGGATGGGAAGGCGGAATTGCCGGCGGAATATCCCATCGCTGAGTTGGATGGTGGAGGAAGACATTAATTTTTGATGGCTTCCACCATTTCTCAGCCTTGAACTTTGGGCGTTTACATTTACTACTCAGATTACCTGCTCAAGCTAAGACTCCTTGGGACAGGGAATGTATATATCGAGTCTTCTTACATGTGTATATAATATATTAATCGGATGTTGGTGTGTACTACAACGACGTTACAAATACACGAGGCATAGACTGGTTCGTCACAGGCATGGAGATCACGGAGTTTCAGGCATCTAGGTCAGAGTATTTGCTGGGCACCTCAAAACCCTCACTCGTCGGGCACAGGCCAAGACGATCATCCTAAGCAGGCGAACTGAACACAACCAACCCCGCACAAGACTTCGTAGAATATCCATCACCTTCTAGCTATGTAGGTGGCTCAGTGCCTGAAGCCACGATATATATCTGCGCGCCATTGGATTTTTCAGATTGCGAAAGCTCACAATACAGGGCATCCAACGGCGTAGTAAAGGTCGTCGCCGCAGCCAGACACACAAATAAACAACGTTCTGGAAATGCTTGACAGAATGACGGTATTGTTCGATCCTTTGATGAGGCTCATGAGTTAGCATACGACACATATACCAGAGGTCAATGAGGAGTTTTATGAACTCATCCATATTGTCGAACAGTATCTGAAACTCCCAGCCCCCGGCACTGCCGAAGGAAGGGTGTCCCAGGGAGATCCCGAAGGAGCTCCCCAGTGGAATCAGTGGTATCATGAACGCAACGACCATCTTCGCCGCCAAAAAGCAGCTAGATACATGCCCCTAGTTTTTGGTTCGAAAGAACCGCATCCGAAACATGCCAAGACAGGACCTTAGTTCAAGCCTTCGAAAAAGCTATCACTTAGCCTTGCTGGTGTTCATGGCCAATCAATCCCGGTGGTCGTTGCCTAATAGTTATTGGTATTCTGAATAATAGGCCCACGCATAGCAAGAATCAGTTCGTGTATACGCTCCTGGTCCTCGGGGTCGTGAATGTCGAAGGTCTGCGCTAATCTCGCGGTGGTAGCACCGTCCGGAGTGCCATCCCACTCGCGAAGCTGGCGATTATGCATCGACATATAATAAAAGCGAACTTTGTCGCCCACTGCCGCCATGCCATATGTGGTCTGCACGGTTCCTAGCCACATCCGAGAATGCACCATATGATTCCGGACAGACCTATGGACTGACTGCCAATCGTAAGTGGTCTCCCACCCGGCCGGAGTGTTACCCGGAAACCTCTTGGCCTCGACAATGATAACTTGGTGCCTTCCTCCATCCCGGTGATTGCTTACCAAGACATCGGCCGCCTCTCTGCTGTCGCTGTGGGTAAACGCCTCTCGCTCTACACCAAAGCGCAGGTCTTGACAAAAGTAATGGGCCAAGAAGTGCTGCCAGAAGTGATCGACCACCTGCTCGTATGGTTGCGGCTGGTTCGGCGCAGAGGCCTGAACATTCTGTAGGTAATCCTGAATCAAGAGCACGTTGAAGCCATTTCCCACCGGTGGCGCTGGTGCTGCTGGTGCTGCTGGTGCTACCTGCTGCGGTTGTCCCTGCTGGGCCATTGTTGATAGTAGATTATTGAATTGTGCGATGAGAAATTCCAGCTTTCTTACCTAGATAATTCGAATCCACTAGTGAAATGACACGGAAGGCAGAGATGCAAGCAAGATAGTAGGAGGGGAGGCAGAATTCCTCAAGTAGGAATGTCTGTCATATCCTAAACACATACAAACACTTGGGCAAACAATTCACTGAATACAGATCCACTGGCTAATATTGGTAACACATTTCTGAGCTTACAAAAGACTTGTTACTCAACAGGTATCAGCCATTGTGGGCCTGACATGTTTGGTGATGAACCTGGGCTCAGAATCATGGCCGGGGTAAATCAATCCCAATAGGAGACCTTGAGACAGGAGGTATGGGATTGGATCGGGTGAATAGAAATCATGTTTCTTGTATCAGCTACTTCAAACGCTGCGTATATCTACAGTTACGTGAACTGTTCCATCACTCGAGGTATAGGGATGCGTCAATACATAGCATTATCTCAAACATGGTGTTAGAGGTTCTACCACTACAAGGGCAGCGGGTAAAATTGACCCGAATAGATCTTAGCCTTAGAGCAAGGACTAGGAACCTTTTTGCAATCTGATAAGTATAGAGGAAATCTTTTCATGCCATTGTCAATCATTAAACTCATTGCATGTGGCAGAATTGGATGGGCTAATTGCAGCCTTGCCTATTTGGCGAATAGTTATTTTAACTCCAGTTCCGCTGGAATTATTTTATCTTTTTTGTAGACTTTAATCAGACGTTTTCGTGCATCTTCAGCCCATATCGGACATCGTCTGGATGACCGACCCCAAACTCCAATATCTATTATCTTGCGACTCTATAGTCCCCTGCTTTAGCATACCCGAAAGCAATGTAGGGTGATGAAGAATTCTATGTACTCACATCTAGAACCGCAACCACCTGTGTGACTTGTTCCAGGGTTTGAGCAGGCGACACATTAGACGCACGGAGCCCTATGCCCAAGTTTCCCACACCATACAAATATCGATTCTGGAGATCCTTCGGCTTAGGAAAAGATGGCACTAAAATCACACATGAAACTCCACTAGAAGTCGTCGACGCAATAATCCCCCGCAAGTCTTCAACCTCGACGGTAACTCTAATACCAGGATACTCTAGATAATCATGCACAGAGTCACTATTATGATACTCCTCTCCAGACATTTCCTTGGCCCCGGGCAGTGTGTAGCCCAATAAGGCCTTTTGTCGATCCTCGAAGAAAAATTCCAACCCCGTGACGTGCACAGGGCTGATGTCGCTGTGCGCGGAGATCGCGACCTGCCTGACGGGCGAATTAATGTCCACCGTCTCAAGGTGTGTACCTCGACGGACTGTATTATGATGGTACTGTAAGGGTATACCGCGGTAGTCTAGCGGAAGAGGTGTGCCGTAGGCCAGAGCCAAGGCTGTATCGTGAAGCCAACGAAGCGCTTCCCAGATTTTCCGCTCCAAGAGAAACCAAGCACTGCAGTTAAGCTGGCTGGTAGAGTGGTAAAGAAGCCTCCAGTCGATTCTTTCTTGTCGGTTCGCTGTGCCCATGAAGTCCCTTACGGCAGGCCACAGAAAGCCGCGCTCTTCGTTCAGATAAAACCTCGTCTTCCAGAAATTCTGGCTTGCAAAGATCGGTGCTACACCACGAGATACCTGGCGAAGGCTCAGTACATCCCGTGTGGGTAACATGGTAGCGATCATTTCGATTATCTCTAAGGGCAGACGTTTAAACTGGTCTTTCGCGAGCGGGGAAGAACGTGACATTGGACACCAGGGTCTCGGCGGTGCTCTTGCAAAGCGCCTGAGATCGTCCAGATTGGGATGATCTAAATGACCCTGAAATTTGTCATTAATTGCGTTTTGCACGGTCTCCACTGGTCCTTCTTCGGCTACCATGTCAATGAGGCCCCAAGCTGGGGGTAGTGGCAGGCGTTCCAATGCTTCAAAGATATAACTGAGGTCAAACTCCTGGGGGCTAAAGTGCTCCAGAAGGCGCCGCCAGCAGGGTTCATGGAAGAAGTACAGGTCGGTATTATCAAGCTCTGGAACTCTCGCAGAAGTCCATTCGTTCGTCTCCACATGGGCTGGAATTTGGGCTGTGGGATAATAGGCATGTATACCTAACGGTCTGGTCACCTTTACTCCTGCTCTGGTACAGTAGACTACCATATACATTAGATAGGCAGTGAAAAGAAAGTCAGAGAAATCAAAGCGTAGAACAAGATCCTACCTGCCCGGATCTCCTTTATGTGGCGATTCTCTGGATTCACATTCAACCCACAGACCGTGCATAAGGGGAATCGTCCGAAGGATAACATAACCTGTACGTAGTGTAGATTGTCTTGTACTGTTGGGTGCCGATCGGCGTCAGGACGGAGCGAGGGGTGGCAGAGGGATACTAGCTAATTGAGGGTGCAGGGGACCTACACTTGATCATGTATCAGCGCATATAGCAATATCATTGTATTCGTGCGAAAAACCTCTTCGTGGTGGTGTACACTACCTCCCTGGCTGGATCGTAGCGGACTCTCCAGTACTAAGATGGATTTTGTAAAAAAAAAGGATAACACGTCTTCTTTAACTAGTACGATACAAATCTATTAGTCTCCATTGACTAAAGATATGCGTCATGTACATGTCAGCTTTGGGATTGAATATCTCTAAAGTAAATAAACAAAACCTTGCACAAACTCACTACTCTTCCATGCATAGCTCAGCCATCAGCTTTCTTCTATTGGCTTTGTTATGCGGGTCCTGGTCTGAGCAATACTTAGCTTTCTATGGGCCATGGTTAAATAATATGAAATCATTGGTTATCACTACGTGTTGTTGCTACCATTTTATAAAATGAACTTTTACTCGCGGGAAGTGTGGCCGACGATGATACATCCGAGGAACGACGATCCGGACAAAGAATGATAGTAAGGAAGAAAGGGAAGAAAGGGGGAAAAAAGAAAAGAAAAGAAAGAAAGAAAGAAAAAGACAGAGACTATCCTTTTCCAGATTTATTCTTCTATTCTCCAATAGGGTTGGTGGCGATATATTAGACTTAGTCTGCTTAATAGCAAATAACTATATATTTTTTTACTCCTATTCTTTAAAGACTAAGAAATGGATATCAACTAACGAGGAGGATAACAGCGAAGCGCGATCCCCATCTTTTTGGGAATAACACTACTTACCACACATGAATTCCTACCGAGAACAGGTCCCGTCAAGATACAGCTGTTCCAAATGTCAAACAACATTCGACTCGTAATTTTGGGATAACACTCTGCGACACACAAAGAACAGTAGCCTACTAAAGGATGCCCTGACACCCGGAGCAATGATACGACCCAGCTACAATGGTTACAGTCCATTGTATGTAATTAGGAGCAGGCCAACAATTAGAGAAGTATCAAAAGCTCGCTAAAGATTAGTTTAACACTCAAAATCAAGGTGGGACAGCTGAGAAGTATATATAGAGATGATCCCCCCGTCTGCCCTTTCGGACCCTTTCCTTTCCCTCTTTGGCTAACTTTCAACTGACAAGAGTGTATGTATAGAGGTGTTATTGCTTTCTTTTGTATAGGTTGTGTGTGCTAACAGAAGATGGACGAGCAGTACCTCCTCCTCCTCCTCCTACTACTACTACTACTACCACAACCACCATGTCCGCTCCCTCGCAAGTATGTCTTCAAGCCTACCTACAACACTTCCTATCCCCAATCTCACAATCCTCCAGAACATTATCGTACAGCGGGCGACCTTCTTGGCCCCGGCTGCCCCCAACCCCGCCGCAGGCGGCAAGGCTCGTGCGCTTCGGCGCAAAGAGAAAAATAAAATCAAGGTGAAGCAGATGAACAAGAAAAAGTTCGAGAATGGCTGTGCCTCCGTCAAGGAGTTGGTAAGCAATAGCTGTTGCTTCCGGAAGGGAAATCAAGGGCTAACTACGGATGACATATACCTAGTTGGACGAGGCTGAGCGCCTCGATAAGGCTGCTGCTGTTGAGGAGGAGGAGGCGCGGAAGAAGCGGGCCCGCGCTGCGAAGCTGCGGGTGGCGGCGGCAGCGAAGGGGGAGGAGAAGAAGAAGGATAAGAAGGACAAGAAGGAGGAGAAGAAGGAGAAGGAGGAGGAAGAGAAGGAGGGGGGGGACATGCCCCTCCGCTTCAAGGAGGAAGGGGATGATGATATGGTTGTCGATAAGTAGATTTATTTGGCCTTTCTTTGAATGGTGACTCTGTCTATGCCTCTTCGTAACCATACATCTTTGTGTGATTTCCTTATAGTTATAGTAACCCTGCCATGACCCTCGTCAAGGCCTCATCTTCTGCGTTCAATGCCTCGATTCCTGCCCCATCAGGCCCAGTAACGTTCCCATTTCCTGCTTCAGGCACCTCAGCCTGCGCCCTAGGATCAAAGTAGAACCCGCCGGCCATTTCAAAGAAACTCGTCAGATCCTCACAGCTTTCCTGTTGATCATCAACCGCTGCATTCCCCCCTGCTGCTGATGCCGGCCAGTACGTGGACACTGACACTGACTGCTGATGAACGGGATGGAATCCCGAGAGTTGGTGCTGCGGATGTGGTGGATAGGGTGTATCCACCGGGGTGAAAGGTACGGCTGCAGACATGGTTGTGGATATTGAAGGCTGTCGCTTAGGAGTTTGGTGTTGTTGTTGCTCGTGCTGTAGCTGAGCTTTAGCTTGTCGGGGCGACTTAGCTCCCAAGTTTGAGCGGATCAATTTTAGATTCCGGATAATCTTCTGCAGACGGCGGGATGTGCGGGCGCGAGTTGATGATCTGCGAACCATGTCGACGGCTTTGTAGAATTCCGGACGACAGACTTGGCTGAATCGGGAAGGGGCATGGAGCACTGCAAGGAATAGTGCAGCGAGAGCTGAGATGAGGAAGTAGTTGAATGGTTCGGGACGTTGGAAGTAGATTTCTGAAACGCGGCTGAAGAAGTCGAGCATATGCACGGTACTTTTCGCAGTTTCGACGGCGATGGATGCACTCGGCACGCTTTCTTCGATGCTCTCTATGCTGAGGAGGTATTGTCTGTAGACGAGAATGCGCAGCTGATTCGCTTGCAGTGCTAGTAGTACTTGAAGCATCATCATGCTGTCTGTCTGCGCATTGGGTGCTGTGGAGGATGATCGCTGCGACGGGTCGAAGCGCAGCTCTGGCGGGATGGATTGGATCCATTGTTGGACTTGGAAGTCCAGGTATGAGCAGTAGTCTGCCGTCGCGGCGCGTGGGCGCGTGCGCCAGCCGACCACAAGGCCCCATATCTTGGAGCTGAGTCGTGCATACGAGATCATACAGGTGAGGTAAGGTGTTGAGGTGCCCGGCTCCGGTAGGTTCGTGTCCATGTCGGAATCCTGGATGGCGAACGGCAGACCCGTTCCGAACGACCATTTCCGATCAAGTACGTAGATGCACCAGAATAACCTGCTGGCCCATGTTCTGTGCAGTTCGCCTGGGAAAACACCCCCCGTTTTTAGCCATGTCTCCTGACAGTGTAAGCCGAGTTGGACGGCGCCCCGGACGGCGGACCCGATTGTCCGCCACGCAATCACCTCGTCGTCGCGGTAGGAGTGGAAGATGGACTAATTTGTTAGCTGGAACAGGAACAGCTGAAGGACTGAACGCACCACTAAGGTCAGGATAAGCAATTCCTTCATGTCCACCTCAGGGATCTTGTACCGAGAAGCGAACTGATCCTCGACGCTGTCTGCCAACCAGGCCGCTCTTTCGCTGCGACCGTGTGACTCCGCTAACAAGGCCGTTGCTACGATGATCTTTAATACCTCAACGTCCCGGGCAAAGAACCAATCCTGATCTCCGGTTTCGGGCGAGCGTGTCTCATTGGGACCGTCCCCATCATCCCGGAAGAACTCGACCACGTACGCACGCACGCTGTCGAGGTCCACGCACGGGTAGATCAGCCCAACGGTATGCTCGTAGACCGTCACCAGTCGCAGGGTCTCTGTGAGACCCATACACCGAAGAGGGTCGCCTGAAAAGGCCTCTGAATCTTGAACAGGCGCTGGGCTCGGTGCTGTTGCTGAGTCGGTTTCATCCGCGTCGCCATCGCTGTCCTCCGATGCCTTCTGCCGCGCAGTGAGGCCAAACTCGGCACTGGTGGGACCGACGTAGCTGGGAGATTTGGGACGGTTCAGAATCCGCTGCAGTCCTGTATTGACAGATGCCGAAGAAACAGTCGATATGGAGGTGGGTATGCTAGTATTGTTTGCTGGTGTAGTCACCGATGTTGATTCCAGGTGACGAAGACGAGCGGCCATGGCTCGCATTTCTCGCTGAAGGGATGCAATTTGCTGGTCGACGGTCTGCAATCGACTAGACAATCTGCCATACCTGTGTAAGTAATAATCTCCGGCTGGCCAGGATAAGATTACCTCTCATCTTTGACAGGATCTTCAACCGAAGGAGAAGCCGTGCTGGCGACAACGTGAGCGTTCGGGGCGTAAACGCAACGAACATTGTCTCTGGCACAGCGGGAGCACACAGGCTCGCCGCTACATTTCAGCTTCCGTCGCTTACACTCATTGCTAAGGGGGTCAGGTCAGTCAAGCCTAGAAACCATCTGTGGAGGATTGGCACACCAAGCGACCTGGGTATATTTGGCGCGCTTTTTGCTCCGAGGCGGTTCCGGAGTGTTGCTGCCTCGCTTAACTGAGTCGCTGTCCATGGGGTTTTGCTTTAGCGAGCAGGACACAAATAGATCGCGTTAGATCGAATGTCTCATTCAGCACTCCACTAGGGTAGTACAAAATCGATCGATTCCGACGTATGTGTTGGTGCATGAGAAATGAAGATGGGGTTCGGAAACACTGCTGGAGGGAGGCGCAAACTTTAAATTTCATTCCGAGGAATCCGAGGTCGGCGGAGCGGAGTTTCATTCTTAGCCCCAGGCCACCACATTTTGGACACACCGGGTCGGCAGTACCATTTTATGGATCATTACGCCAATGGATCGGGCATAAGGCTGATAAGACTATCGTAATCCTGTGGGTCGTGCGGTAGCTAAGTACCTATATTCGTAACACGATCATTCAAATCCATCCAATATATGTCATTGAAGTACCAGATCTCCTTCAGTATGTGCGAAATCTCAGCTATATATGTACATCGTAGTCGTCATTCATGTCCAAAAATAGTACTACCAAGTCTTAGATGTGTGCATTACGACAGCAGTCGTTGCCGACCACCCGCGAAGAGACGTTCTTGTCGGATGGCACATCCAACGACGGGTTAGCGGTGAAGAAATCCGCAGGTCGGATCATCAGCTGGAAGATCTCAACAGGCCTAATGTAGTTAGCATGCTGCCATAGTAGATAGTATAGGGAACACTCACATCACAGGCCAATCTTCCACACGAGGATTGTGGGTAATGCCAAAGGTGCTCCAAACCACAACATCCGTGTCCACCACGGAATCGCCTCGCTTCACTGCGTCCGACACACCCTCGATTTCCTCCTGACTCTGGAGTGTGTACCGGCCACCGGCATAGAGTTCGCCATCGCGGTACTTGGTCACCCACACGTGGTGCTGAGCAAATTGTGCGCGTCTCGCTTGGATCGAGTTGGGATCGGCCAGCAGGCGTTGTGTCGCGAGCGGAATGAACTTGTATCCGACGGGCTTCTGGCTGATCGGGTTCTTCTTGTGAGGGTTGACCATCTTGACAGTACGGTTAAGCTCCGGCGCGGCGTCGAAGAAGCCTGCGCGCTCCATGGTCTCCGTGTTGACCTTGTAGAAGTTACCATTCGGGTTGGTGACGGCGTTCATGGGCACAGGATGCGACTCTTCCACCTGCACTGAGTTGTTGGGCCCGTCGATAGCCGGGTCGATGCGCACACAGAAAATGTGCTGGTGGTTCTGGGCCAACACGCCGCCACTGACCACGTTGCCGTACTCGCTGACCTTGCCAGCATCGATGTTGACCACGTTCAAGATACCCGTGGCACGCGACTCGACCGTGATGCCACCCGATTGGTCGAACTTGTAAGCAAAGATGTACTCGTAGTTGGCCAGGGTGATGATGAACTGCACGACTAGTTCCCGGTGACGGGTCACTACCGCGCGACCAGTCCGCCAGTTGGAGTGCTTCCAGCCAATACCGTTGTCCTGCTCATGCAAGCAGATGGCGTTAGGCATCTTCTTGGCCGAACCATCGGCACCCGTCATCACGGCATCAAAGTACTTGATAACACCGAGGCAATCGCATCCGATTGAGAGGTTGTTGGCCATATTACCACCACCACCATCACCAAAGTCAAACGCCTGCTTGCGGTGGAACGGAGGGCGAGGATCGGCGTAGGGTACAGTCTATGGAGTCAGCTATCGAGCCGTGGTGTGGGCCAAATGAACTTACCATCTCACTAACACTCAGTCGGTAAAGCACACTGCGGCCATCGTACCAGACGTCGTGAATGGTAGCACCCTCGCGGGGGTTGAAGGCCACGCGGAACCGCCACTTCTGCCACTCTACGAGCGACTCCTCGGTAATGCGGAAGGAAGGACCTTCGGGCTGAACCACGTTCAGCGGCTTCAGATCCTTGCGTGTACCACCAGGAAGCAACTCGGGCACATAGTCCGAGTCTTTGCAGTGACCGATGATGTCTCTCTTGAAGGTCTGCTCTGTCAGACCCTCACCCTTGCCACCTGTGGCGGGACGGTCGACCCGAATGATCTCCTGGGTAAGCGCATCCATGACGGGGATGAGAGGCAGAGGGTAGGAGTAGAAGTTGGCGTCAGGGTTGTTCTTGCGCTTATCTGTGGCAAAGCATAGACCCTGGAAGTACCGACGCTTCTCCTCCACGTAGTCCAGTCCACCATATGGCCAAGGCTCAATGACGACCTCAAAGCCTTCAGGGAGGTCGAAGTCGGCCAGAGCTTTCTGGAAGAGGGGGGAGGCGAAGCAACGCTCGACCAGGGTATCAAACTCGCTCCTGAAGACACTGTATTAGTATTGATTTGTCCAAAAGGTTACTTGACTACGTACAAAGTCAAAGAAGCATGGTGCTCCTTTCCAACGACACGATGTTGTACACGCTGGCGTGTTCCAACATCGACAACAGATTCCTCAAAAGAGGGGATGCGGTCGTTCCCAATCACATCATACTGACAGAGGGCCAGACGAGGCGGACGAGGAGAGGTTGGACTCAGACGACCAGAGTGCTCCAGAGCCAGGAACTCGAGGAGCTGTGCTTTGGGAGGTTCTGACAGATAGATCTCCCGGAAGTCAATGACTGTGTTGGGGTGCTGTGCGAGGATGACATTGCGAGCAATGTTGGTCTCCTCTTCGGAGAGGATGGCAAGGGGATGAGGAAGCATTGTGAAGGGAATTGAAGATGAAGAATGAAAGATGAAACAGCAGAACCACACTGACTGGGGAAATATGCGGGGGAAGCTGAGCTCATATGTATGAACCCTGGCGTATGACTTTCCATTTTCGGTCTGGTGAGTTGTCTCGGAACCTCGGAATGGGCGGAATGAGAGCTTACCCTGGCCTGACAGGTACAATTGAGGGAGCCAATGGCGGAACCGCTCCGGGATAGGCGAGGACCGATTGGCTCCCGCAGCCGATAAACTCGTGCTGGGCGATAACATATCGCTATCGGGCAGTGATAAGCAGAGGGGAAGCTGTACAAAGTATGATGACACGGGATAAACAGCCAAGCAGCCCTACCCATTGCAAATACGAGTATGTAAATCAGGCATGTGATCGGACAGCTAATAATTAGAATTATCTATCGTTAGTATGGCATGATCCAAAAGACATCTATCATAGTATTTACAATCGTCAAAACATGAACACCCACTCGCCATTTATTCGGGTATCAGCAAAATCAGAAGATGCGTTCCGTGCTGGGCTTCATCCACATCACCTTCTCACACTGGTGAGATGCCCGCCAATTCTTCATTTTCTCCAGGTCCCATCCGGAAGATAATCGCACCGACGAATCGCCCAGCTTCTTCTTCGCGCCCAGCCGCATCGTGCGAACAAAGACACAATGTCCCGAGGAGTCGTATGTGAAACTGAGGCACTGGGCATGTCCATGGCAAGCTGTCTGACAGGCTTCAAAGGAGCCGTGGGCGGGTGATTCGGGAGGTTCCTGCCAGCCGCCCCAGTCACCGTTGTCCCAATCGGACATGTGGTCGACGGTTCCCAGCTTCAGATATTCCATCAAATCAGCGTAGATCAATGGGCGCTGGAATGGCTTCGTTAGTGGGATGTCAAGGGATAGGAGTCAGAAAAGCTTACAGTGCGATCCCGCTGGTTTTCCCACCGCATCAGCCCAGTCATGTCCGGCAACAGTGTCTTGTGCATACTAATGACCGGCTGGCACCAGTAGGCATCGTCAAACGGAATTCCATGCAGTGGATGGGGATTGAACATGGGCCAGAAGCCTGAGAGCTCTACGCCCTTCTCATGCAATGCCCATCCGAGTATCGAATCACCACAGCAGTCCGCTTTAACGATATCCTCGTACTGTTCACTCAGCGTGGGCTGAATGTACTCTCCGTGAGATCCAACCTCTCTGTACACCAATTTATCGACAGCTGCCGTGGAAAGGACGAATCCGGAGCCACCGTAGGCAAAATAGGAAACTTCCTTGTCGTTGATCCGCCGTCCCGGGGACGGAGAGCCCATATACAAGGGGGTATGCGGGTCAAACTGATCCAAAAACCGGAACATATTATCCCAAACCACGTATGTATCCGATTCCAAAAACACGAACCAATCAGCTGAGGGGTTGATTTCGTGTGCGCGCTCCACCATGGGGAGAAATTTAAAGCGATCGAGCCTCCAACCTTGGGGCGCCGCCACAATCTTGTCATCTCCTCGCTGAAGCGCATCGTATGCCTCAAAGTCGGAAGTATTGGCTCGGAAGGATGCAGGAAGGGCGGCCAGGATGTCGTGAACACGATGTTCTTTGATTTGCGACTCTCGATCGGAGACGATGATGAGGTTCGGAATACAGCGAGTGACGCTGGAGATTTGCGCGTTGACGCGATCGGCCGGTTCGGAGGCGCCGATTTTCAGAACAACCTGGACGCGCGAAAGCAGGTAGGCAGGGAACAAGTCGCAAAGCTGATCGTCACTTTTGACGGGTTTCTGCACATGCGGGAAGCGGGAGGTGGTTTCCCACTCCCAGAAATCGGGTTCGCCTGGGTGCGAGTGGTGGCGATATAACGATGTCGGGTCGAAGGGGGGCGCTCCGATTTCGAGTTTGAAAACCGAGGCAGCGACCACGACGAACAGAATCAAGGCGAGGATATTTGTGACCTTGCGCGATGGGATCGCCCAGTAAGGACGGCGACGGGGGACGGGTTCCCGGCCCATTTTGTGTGACGTCAAATGGGTGGGCGGAGAGAATGTTGGGTAAGGATAGCACGGGATTCGGGATAAATGCGCAAAGTATATCGTAGGCGATATGTTAAGAATATATGAGGCTGCGAGATACCAAGTCAAATTTGAAGTACTCAAGCATCAGGCATAGCAGCACTCCAGCTCCAGTAGTTCCTTCAGCCAACGCGGGAAGAGACAATCCAGTGAGGGTAATTGTGACGCATGGGGAATGAGGGTAGAGCAGATAGAACAAAATTACGGCACAAGAGAGAGACGGATAGAGAGAGGGATTAACAAAAAATCACGCGAGACCAAGGTAAAGGGGGGAGTAAATGGAAAAGTATAAGAGGCAGTTGGGGGGGATGGAGATAAAGTAATTTCACGGCGGTGGACTAGAGTACAAGGGCAAAGAGTGAAGGAGACCCTGGTGCTGCCTATCAATCCGCGCCGCCAAATGAACCACGATGGGTCCCCGAGGAAGTTAAACGGGTGCCAATAGGGCTGGCAAACCTTGGCAATATGCCGGTGATGACAATACCCTGTTCACTTTATAGATATATTTCCTTACTGCTACTCTCACTATCATTGCCCTCCTTTTTTACCGCCATTTCTCATTATGAATACTACTCAGGCGTCCTACTCTAACCAGTACTCTTTTGTACTGGTACTGAGTAGTACCAAAGTGACTGATGATGGCATCCATAAGTCCAATCCGGGCAACGGTGGTGCCCACTGCCCCACTTCCATGTTATGATAGGCTGTGTATACTCCACTTTAAAGTCACTGGAAACATATCAACCAATCAACACTCGAGCAGTAAAATTGCCCAAGCCCGTGACGCGATGACGGCACCGTCGGAGAAGCAAGAGGAAATTTCGGGACGCGCCAATCCATGGAACTTTGAACTTACCCTTACTTGTCAGGGTAGTATTTTTCTCTGCCATAATATGTTCCCTCTCTTTCAACGATGATCACTTTTCTCAACCTTTGGAATTTCGCCATTTCCGCTATAGTGTTGGTATAATTTTTCCATGTCCAAGTTCATGAAAAGATAGCTGCGCACGGTGAACCCAAACAAAACCCTGTTCCTTCCCTGCTAGCGTGGTGACTCGATACAGGGGTTCGGTCATGCTATCTATTTGAGTGGATCCTCTCTCTCTCTCTCTGTCTTTCAGGGACGGGCAATAAAGCCAGGAACGGTACCAACCCCTTTTTAACCTTGGTCGTTATCTACCCTAGTATCTACTATCAAACTATGGACCCAGATAGATGTTTGGTCTGTAATTCTAGATCCCAATGGATCCTTGGGAATTATCTGTCGCGGTCATGGACTGTAGCACTATTGTTTGAAGGGGGTGTGGAATACCACTACGACAAGGTTCCGATCGTCGCCTTAGGCAGTAACTACGGACTGACTGAGTGGTTTTGTTTGTTTTGTTTAGTAGTGTGCCACCGACCGGGTTAATTATAGTAACCCTACTAGGGAAAGAAAGCACATGGATCGGGAGGGACTCCGAGCATACTTAGTGCAGCAATTTCCATAACCAGTCGAGTAATCTCCGAGAAGACATGGATATTAATTGATCACCTCATTTACTTTAACCTCCAATCCCTCTTGCTTTCCCTACTACCCCACCACGCCATTGCTCAGATTATTCTCCCAACTCATGGCGTCTGACATTCACTACTAAGAACGAAGGAAGGCTAGCGATGGTGCTTTGACAGCTCACAGATCCTGATGAATCCCGTTATTACTTCTGACGCGTCCTTTGCGGTCTACTTGCATTCAGTGGTGGATGCTTACAGGAAGTCTATATCGCGATTGGAAGACAATGCAAAACACCAGAATACTGCGCGAAACCCAACGTGATAATCGAGAGTAATAAAATTACACGGTCACCCCTTCTCAACCCTCGCAACCCCATCCATCTCTGGTATATTCGGAGACTTTTGCCACCAATTCCCAGAAGCCGCATCCTGCGTGCCACTCCCTCCATCCGTCCCCAATTCATGTGTGACACCGTCACTACTAAGTTCCGCCAGCCTTGTCTGAGGCGATCCATAGACGGGTGGATGCGCCATGGCAGGGGTATCAGTAGTCGTAGTAGTCTCTTGGCTGGGCTGGGCGCGTCGGCGCTTGATTAAGAAAAAGGCGAGCCCTGCAATGGCACTGGCACCGACCACCGCCCCGACAGTGGCTCCCGCAATGCCCCCTTTAGATAGGGAACTGCCCTTGGAGCTGCCTGTACTGCTGCTACTGCCGTTTGCCGATGTCGATGTCGAGTTTTCACCCGCTGTGGAATTGGTGGTAGTGGTGATGATTGCTTTTTGGAACATGGTCGCCAACGTTGTGTCGTTGAACCCATTCTTTGGTTCGGTGAGATTGGCTCCGCCCGTCGAGCTGTTCGTGGTTCATCAGCACCAAAGCAAAACTAATCTCTCGATCGGATTAACGTACCTTCCACCAATGACATCGGTGATTGCTGAGCTCAGGGCATAGTCTGATTGATCATCGGCATTATAATCAGTGAGCCAGGTATGCTGGTTCAGATCAAAGATGGCCAGTCCGTTCTCAAAGGTGCCCGTGTCGCAGTTTACCGGCTTCGGCTCATACTCCGAACTGTCTGTTGGGATCGTTCCTCCAACCACAAGCATGGTATGCTTCCCAAGGACATTGCATGTGTGCTTTTCGCGGATACTGCTCCCCTCGTTCACGCGGATCCATCTGAACGACGGCAGTGAAAGAACGTATACATCGCCGTCGGAATTCGCAGTGGTCGCGGCCATCCCGCCAAACATATAGCTAAATTGGAGGTGTCAGTATCCCCAACGATTGAGCATAAGCACCAATGCTTACATGGAGAACGATGACCGATCTTGTGCTGCCACCGTCACGCTGCAGCCCGCCATCCGCCAGTTCGGAATATCCCCGGTAGTCTGCTGCGTGTACCATTTCTGGTTCGCGATATCATACAGGCTGACGTATTCCATAGGGTT